TGGGTGGGGTTTTTTTTGACACAGGGTCTCCCTGTAGCCCTAGCTGTCCTGGAACTCACAATGTAGACCAGGCTGGCCTTGAACTCAGAGATCGCCTGCCTCTGCCTCCCCAGTGCTGGGATTAAAAGGCATATGCCACCACACCCGGCCTGTCTCACTTATTTGTAATTCAATTTATTATAAAGTTGTATAGAAATTTAATTAATACTATACTGAATATATTTAAGTCCACACTAGAATCTTTGAGGACTTTTCTGCCCTTTGAAAGAAACAATATAACTGGGCATGGTGGTGCACGCCTTTAATCCCAGCACTGGGGAGGCAGAGGCAGGCGGATCTTTGTGAGTTCAAGGCCAGCCTGGTCTATATAGTGAGTTCCAGGACAGCTGGGGCTACAGGGAGACCCTGTCTCAAAAAGACAAAAAAAAAAAAAGGACCAATATAATATGCCTATAATTCTGTCACTTGGGAGACGGCAACAGGAGAATCACAAGCTTGAAGTCAGGCTGAGATACACAATTAAAATCTTATCTTTAAAAAAAATAAAATAAAAACATCCAAGGAGGAAACCACCCAACCTATGCCTCACTCTGCAAAAGGAGAGAGAGAGAGAGAGAGAGAGAGAGAGAGAGAGAGAGAGTGAGTGAGTGAGTGAGTGAGTCTTGCTGGTCTCAGATGTTTAGATCCTTTAAAGGCCTAAAACTTTTAAAGAACATTTTTAAAAACTGAACAATAACAAACAGATACAAACCACATTTTGGATTGTATCCAGCTGGGAAAACGATTTGAGAAGAACATTCTGTGTCCCTAGGAATTTGAATAAGGAATGGATAAATAAAAACTCCAGGACGCTACAATTATGATAGCATTACCGGATTAAAAGAAACTGAAAGTATTATAAAATCCAATCTAAACCTACTGTTTTAATCCCTTCTATTGTAAGTGATGTTTTCTCTATACCATAATAGTAAATTTCCCAGTTTGTAAGAAAAAACATTTCAAATCAGCTCACATATAATCACTGTAAGTACATGATGAACAACACAAGGTAAAAACAAAAAAACAATTTAAAATTAAGTTACATGCTGCCTAACAATTGCTACTTTTTATTCTTTTAGTGAGCAGAGTGCAGAAGTGAGTGTTAATAGGAGATCACTATTGGAATCTGAGATTACAAAACCAAACTAGCTCAATTTAAAAGAAAGCAAACAAATGAATAAAAATGTTCCTGTGAGCTGGGCATGGTGGGACACACCTGTACTCCTAGCACTTGGGAGGCAGGCGCAGGCGGATCTCTGTGAGTTCAAGGCCAGCCTGGTCTACACAGTGAGTTCCAGGCCAGCTGGGGCAACAGGGAGACCCTGTCTCAAATAAAAACAGAAAAAAAAAAAAGTTCCTGTGGAGGGACTGGTTGGCACATTCCTGTAATTCCAGACTTGGGAAGCTGAGATAGGAAGATTGTAAATTCAAGGAAAGCATCAGCTTATAAAGCAAGAGTCTGTCTCAAACAAATCAACAGGGCTGATGACAATAACAGGGCAGAAAGCAGTAGCACAAGCATACAATCCCAGCACTCAGGAAGCAGAGGCAGAAGGATGAGTTTGAGGCAAGTCTGGGCTATATAGCAAAAGCCTATCTCAGAAAGCAAAACAAAACAAAGCAAAGGCTCCTAGTAAGTTATTTTGAATAAAATCCCTTTCTAGATACAGGTAGATGCCAGTACTTATTGGAGTATCTTTCCACAACTAAAAAATGAAAGCATATGAGAAATTATACCCTAACAAATATGCCATGTGCATTCCTAAGCAATGGTTTTCCTGTAATGTATGTACTTACCTCCTGGGCATCTCTTGCTGCCTTTGCATCATCCTCATTGTAGCGGTTACAATTGTACCTTAAATTAAGAGGATTTAATTAAACCATAAATTAGTAAGACAAGAACAGATTACAACATCTGAAGTTGTATTTAGTGATTCTCTAGAACTAATATTCTATTTTACAGCATATAAACTGAGATGTTAAACCCCGGGGTTCTATTGCTATTTTGGTAGCATTATAAGGCTAAAACAATCTGAAAGGGTATGGAACATAATTCAAATACCTAATGTTTCAATCATCTTTAATACTGGATCAGTTCCCCCATCAAGTAATAGAAAATTTCACCTCCTAAGGCAGCTCATCCTAAATCAGATCACCAATAATCATTAGAAAACGCTGAAGTTTTCTAGAACGTTCATTTACTATATGTAGCTTGAACTTCTAACTCAAAAGAAAGGGCTCTTAATCTCCTAAACTATCTGTCACTCGGATAGTAATCCCAATTCTCCAGTTATCTGATCTTCTTTATAAGCAAAAGAGAACCAACACCTGTGCTTTCCATACTATTATACTTTATTAATGCTGTCACTGAAAACAGAATGATAAGCAAAAAGCTTCTCTGGAGAAGGGAGGCCAGAGGTGAGAACATGGCCAGAAAATGGAGATGAATAGGACTGGCACTTTCTTTGTCCTTGTATCTTTTATGAGATGCTACATCTGATTGTGACTCTTTACTGACTACTTACTAATACATACCACCTACCTGCTAAGGACTTTCAATGAGTTATTCAGAGTAACTAATATATACATGAGTTTCAGAGTAGGAAAGTAAGAGCTCATACCTTTATTTTAGATCTAAAGGGAGTGGTTTTTCTGTTTTTTTTTTATTTATTATTTTTATTTTATGTGTATGAGTGTATTGCCTCCATCATGTAGATAGGTGCGCCCTTGTGCAATGCCCAAGGAGATCAGAAGAAGGCATAAGATTCCCTGGAACTGGAGTTACAAACTGTTGTTAGTCTCCATGTGGGTACCCTCTGCAAGAGCAGTTAGTGCTCTTAATTGCTGAGCCATCTCTCCAGACCCTTTGTTTTTGCTTCTTAACCCTATCCTTCCCTCCCTACTAAAGGAAACTTTTTGGGTTTAATTTAAATTGTGTTAAAACTGAGCTGTAAGGAGCTGGAGAGATGACTAAAGTGATTTAAAGCATGTGCTACTTTTGCAGAGGATCACAGTTGATTCCCAGCACTGATACCAGACAGCTCACAATTGCCTGTAACTTCAGCTCCAGGAGATTGAATACACTCTTTTAGCGTCCAATGGTACTTGCATGCACATGTGCACACAAACACATCTAGACACACATGTAGAAAACATATATAAATAAATAAAACATATAAGCCTGAGCTGCTGTTTTAGTTAGTCAACCTTTCAGGATTATTTTTGGGCATATATATGTATGTAAGTAATACTATAGACTGGATTCCGTACCTCTTACCTGCTAACAACAGGATCTACCACTGAGCTGTAAATTCTCTCCTCTCTCTCCTCTCTCTCCCCTCTCTCTCTTCTCTCTCTCTCTCTCTCTCTCTGTGTCTTTTTGAGACATGGTTTCAAACTCGCTATGTAGACCAGGGGTGGGCTTGAATTCTAAGAAATCCGCCTGGCTCTGTCTCAATCAATCAATACCAAATCTCTGCCTGTTTTTACTGCATAGGTTAAAACTTCTCAGTCCCCACTGAAATATCTTATTGAAATACAAAAAACATCTCCTAATCTATCCTCTTACTGATAACTTAATTCTGGATTTCACATGATAGAAAAATTAAGTTATATGATTCAGATTTAGTATGTAGAGTTAAATTTAAAAATTGAAAAATTTGAAAAAAAAATTTTTTTAAGGTCTTTTTGAGACAGGGTCTCCCTGTAACCCCAGCTGGCCTGCAACTCACTATGTGTACCAGGTTGGCCTCGAACTCATAGAGATCCACCTGTCTCTGCCTCCCAAGTACTGGGACTAACGGCATGCGCCACCACACCCACCCAGTACTTTGTCTTTGATGCTTCTCTATTTTCCAGCTATTTAGAAATAAACAATTGATTTTTATCTTCAGGTTTCAAAAGTAACCAGATAATAATTCACCTGGGTTAGGATATTTAACTTTAATTTTCACTCAAATTATAATAATGATTTCTCTCTTGGCACCAGTTTAATTTACTCCAAACATCACTCCTTTGATCTCTATTGGTCAACTATCAACAGCTCTTCTTGTTTGCTAAAACCTTAGAAGCTTTCCTTGCGATTTTTAAAAAATATATGATTCAGGTGTGGTGGCACACATCTTTAAGTTCCTCACTTAAGAGGTAGAGGCAGGCAGATCGCCATAGTTCCACAACAGCCTTGTCTACGCAGCATGTTCCAGGCCAGCCAGGGCAACATAGTAAGACTGTCTCAAAAAACAAATAAAGGGGTTGGAGAGATGGTTCAGCAGTTAAGAGTACTAAGAGCTCTTGCAGAGGACCCAGGTTTGATTCCCAGCACCCACATGGTGACTACGAACCATCCTTAACTCCAGTTCCATGGGAATTCGACGTCCTCTTCTGACCTCTGTGGCATTGCACAACACGGGTGCACTCACATACATACAGGCAATACACTCATACACATAAAATAAAAATATAAGCCAGGCGTGGTGGCACACGCCTGTAGTCCCAGCACTTGGGAGGCAGA